CAATGGGTAAGAATTATAGAAAAAGAATTGACACCCTTGAGCTGTGGTGCTGGAGAAAAGCACTGAACACCCTGTGGATGGCCAAGAGAACAAACAAGTATATCTTGGAGAGGGAACAGCCAGAGTGCTCTTTGGAGGCAAGAATGATGAGACTTCACCTCACATACTTTGAGTGTTTTGCTAGGAGGGGTTATTCCTTGGAGAAGGATATGATGTTGGGAAGGGCAGAGAGTAGGTGAAGAAGACTCTCAACCAGGTGGATTGACACCGTGACTACTGCTTTTGTATGTCAGGGTGTGTGAGGATGATGAAGGATAGAGCCGGGTTCAGATCTTTTGTTCATAGGGTTACTGTGAGTTGTTCTCAACTCGACAGCATCTAAGAACAACAAGAAGTAGAATTACACATGGAATGGTCCTTAGATATTATCATTATACTCAAGGTGCTCATGTACTTTGATCATATCACCAGAACTTTTTGTTACACATTTTGTTACAAGAGGTTAATCCCTGGAGAAGTCCATCATGCTTGGTCACGTAGAGTATCTGCAAAAATGAGGAAAACACTCAACAGGATGAATTGACACAGTGACTGCACAAAGGGTTTAAAAGTGTGATGCAGAATTGGGCAGTATTTTGTTGAAAATAGAGATAATAAAATGCAAAAGACTATCAGTCAAGAAAATGTCCATTTTCATTTATTCAAGCTTGAAATTTTAATTTTTATAGGTTAGAAGTTTAAACAACTCTTATAAATGGCAGAAACATGGCAAGAGTTAATCTCACCCTCCTTTCAGGATAATTTTTCATGCTATTAGGTCAAACATCTCTGTATATCACAGTCAAAATGATGTCTCTGAAGTAAACATCTCTTCTAATGCTCTTTCACTAAAATAGTTTTATTTGTTCACACATGTTCATTGAGAAAATTTTAAAGCTTTGCATCTTCATAATCTTTCTATACTAACTTGATTATGTCTACGTAATCTAATCAGTTCTTCAATTAATCAGAAGCACATACACTTTTGAAGTGTCAGTCAACGTTTTATACATACTCTTCCTTTTGCTTGAAATATCACTCCCACCACTACCCTTTCTGAACATCATTTATTTAGCTCTCACATTTTGAGGTCAGCCTAGAGTTGGCTTATTTGGACTACACTTTGCCCTACATGTCACTTATTCTCCTGGGATCTTCAGGCTATTCTGAGCATGTTCTTTCCATGATGATTGAAGAAGCACAAGAGGGCATGTGGAAACTCACAAGGATCCTTAAAGCCCAGTCTCCTAAATTACCTACAATGCCTAATAACTGACCAAAGAAAAATATGTATACATATACATAGGGAAGAGTCATGATAACACACATTCCACCTCTTCTGTGGGAGAAATTACAAATCCGATGTCAAAAGATTCAACTGCAGAAAAGATGACATGTTTGGTCTAGTAATACAATCTATGATACTTTCTTGCTCTTTTCATCGCCTACTAGTTATATGTATTTCCTATCATATGTTATCATCTCTGGATACTTCCAGTACACTCAAAGACTGAATTTGGACCTCTCCAATAAGGTTCCTTAGTCGTCTATGTTGTTGTGTGCTGTTGAATTAGAGAGCTCCGGTGAACAGCTTTAGTTTGCTTGACTCTACAATCAACACTCTTAGTACTAACAGACAGGAAATCAAAAGACGAAGTGTATTAGGAAGGTCTGCTGTCAGAGACCTCTCCAGAGTACTGAAGAACAACAGTGTCAGCTTGGAGACCAAGGTGCACCTGATCTAGGCCATGGTCTTTGCAACTACTAGCTATGCATCGAAAAGCTGGACAATGACTAGGGATGACAGAAGGAGAATTGACGCCTTTGAGCTGTGGTGCTGGAGAAGAGTACTGCATATACTGTGGACTGCTAGGAAAGCAAACAAGTTCATCCTAGAGAAGTTGAGAACAGCCTGGTCCTTGGAGACAAGAATTCTGAAGGTTTGTCTGACATACTTTGGACATGTTGCAAGGCAGGACCAGTCCTTGGAGAGGGACATCCTGCTTGGGAGGGTGGAGGCAAGAGAGGAGGATCCTGATGAGATGGATTGATGCAGTGAATGGGGTCACAGGGGTAGATGCGTCAGAGATAAAGAGATTGGCTCAGGGTAGACCAAGGTTTGGGGCTGTTGTACATAGGGTTGCTATGAGTTGCAGGCAACTCAATGGTACACAACAACAAGAACAACTGCTGAACTGGGCCCGACTCATAGCTGACCCTCCGGTGGATTTTCAGAGGCAGTTACTCATGAGAGAAGAGATTCCTTTCCTCCTTTCACTGAGCCCCTGATGGGTTTGAACAGTGTGCTATTGAGATTGCAACACAACTTCTTACCACTAGATACCAGAGTTCCCTAGTTGTCTATACACATCTATTTATATAAAGATTTATGCAGATTTTTAACTGCAATTGTCAGTATCTACTATTTTCCTTTCAAGTATACTGAAGATCTTTTGAGGTTAATTATTCTGGTTTGAATTTACTCTCACTCAGCTCCTTAGCCAATTACTGAAGAGTCAGTTTTGATTCACAATGACCTTATATAAAGTCCTTGAATTTTTATGTTGGTGAAGATGGTTGACTATAACATGACCTATGAGAAAAATGAATACGTACGTCTTAGAAGTTCAGCTAAAATGGCCCTACACACAAAGGTCATGAGACTTTTACATATCCAGGGCATGTTAGCAGAAGAGATCAGTCTCTAGTGAAGAATAGCTTAGTAAAATAGAAAGGTCATGGGGTGGGCGGTGGGGGGAATGACACACACAAAAAAAATGTAAATCAACAACCAAACAACTAAAAAAACAGAAGAAGATATCTTAACATAAGTGATTGAAACAATTGGTTGTAGCGTGGTAATGATTTTGAAAATGGGGCAGGATCAGACAGAATTTTATTCAGTTGTCTATGAGGTTGTTATGAATTGAAACTGACTCAGCAGCACCTAAGAATAATAAATACTTGGACACATAATATTTAGTCAATAATGGTTTGTTATGCTGTTGAATAAGTGGAAGAATACATACACAGGTGATTAAATGAAAGAATGTTTGGGTAAATAGTGCTAGAGAAACAGATAAGAGGCTGACTTAGAGCTACGAGGGAATAAAGCAGAGATTATCAATTTAGGCCTTGTTTACAAGGTCTGTTATTGTTCTGTGGTAGCATACATCTTACTATGTATGTGCAAGCTATGTCACTGATATTTCAAATACCAGCAGGGCCACCCACAATAGGTAACTTTAATTGGCTCTTCCAGTCTAAGATAGACTAGATAGAAAGGCCTGGAATTCTATTTCTCTCTTAGTTCTCTAATGCTACTAAAAAGTAAGTGCTATAATTGGATGATTTTAACAAACACTCCCCCCACACACATGTATTAGTAAATTATAAATGTTGTAATTTTCTTCTACTTCATTTTTATCTTTCTCTCTGTTGGCTCTATAGAAAATTATCTCTTTTTATTGGTAATTTTGGTCATCTATTATTCCCATTCCACCTCTTGTTTTTGCGTCATTGTTTTTTCAATCTTCCTTTTTATTTTTAAATATCCCCTCTCTGGTATACTTTATATTTTTAATTGGTTGCCATAGAATAATTCACTGTTTTCCACTCATGAAAATGATGTTTTATATAGTCCTTTATTATGGAATGAATTACTATTGATATAAGCCTATTATTACCTCATGGTTTTGAGCACCCTTTGAATATTTCCTATTTCTTGACCTCTCTAATCACCCACTAAGTTCTGCTAACCTAGTGATTTTCACTTTTTCCCTTTTCTCACCTCTTTCTGTCTTTCTCCTTTCCCTTTTGGACAGTTATTCACATCTTACTAGTTATTCTCCTATTATTCATTACAATAATGTCTTACGTAGTACTTGTCCTGACTGTTGCTGTTGTTGTTAGGAACCATTGAGTCGAGTATGACTCATAGTGACCCATGAACAAAAGAGTTGAACCCTATTCTATTCTGTACCATCCTCACATTTCCTGACATATAAGAGCCCATTATGGAAGTCACCATATCAGTATACCTGGTTGAGAATCTCTCTGTCCTTCACCACTCCTCCACACTTTCTTTTCTTTTTTTTTTTTTATCTTTTTTAAGTACTAGTACTTTTATTTGGGGGAGATGAACTCAGGGCATTGGGAAAAGGGAAGGAAGGTAGGAAAGAATGGAAACCAGTTCAAGGTGCTGCAATGCCAGCTGCGTACTGCTTCATGACAAGAGGCCCAGCAGTGTGTCTGAGGGCTTTATTGAAGCCTGCCCAGAGGCTGCACTATTTGTAGAAATAGCATCTTGCATCAATTCATGAGGGTGGGAATGGCTGCCAGGCTCTCTCATTAGTCAATTTTTACCCACAAGCCTTACGTTCCCCACCTTTCAGGATTGCTAGGGGCTACTTAGGATGGCAGGTCTCATGCCCTTGATGGTGGGAGGGAAACGGAACATGTGGCTGATGAGGGTCCGAGAAAATCTGATGAGGTACCTAAGACGTGTCCAACACTGTTTTTTTCTCATTTTCCTGGAGAGGAAACGAGGCACAAGACTCCAAGTCACATGACTAGTAAGTGGTAAATTCAGAATTTGAGTATAGTCTGATTCTGGAAATTGGGAAACCAAGATAAGAAACTTCAATTATATACAGCAAGCAAAAAGGAGTCATTAAATTGGTTTCAAGCTATGAGATCCACTTAAGGGCCAAAACTTAATAAAACTCTCCTTCACAGTATTGGGGTCCATATTCCCATCTGGCTAAATGAGGCCAAAGTAGGTATGTAGTCTCTGAGAAGAACTCTGAGCAGTCCCTGACTGGTTTCATAGTTTTACTGGGCCTTCAACAGTGACCTCAAATCTTCTGTGTTCATCTTAGTCCATATGTACCAGAGACTGGACTAGCTGGTCTGAAGCCAAAATGAAGGGAACAGGGAGGTTGAGTTACGGAGCAGGAGGATCATCCGTCTGTTTTATTCTTGACCTGTGCGTGTTCTTGAGGTTTAACTTGTCCATGAGTCCTATAACGTTGTTTGAGATGATCAGACCTCATAAATTGTCGGCTGCACTGGTCACATTTAAATGGTCGATATTTTGTATGGATCTTCATATGCCGTGTAAGTTCATCAGAACGGGAAAATGTCCAGTCACAGCCTTGCCGCAAACATTGATAGGGCCTCTCACCCGTGTGTTTGCGGAGGTGACTCACAAGGTGGGAGCGCTTGGTATAACCTTTTCCACAATTCTCATAATTACAGCTGCAGGACCTGGATAATGGTATTTTTCCATTGATTTTGTTTGTCTTGACCATGGAGTTCTGACACACTATACCAGGAGCCGGCATACGCTGCTCAGGTAGGAAGTGGTTGTTCTGGAAAGCTGGATGGCTCATAACAGGGTCCTGGGGTCCTGAATTCATCATCGGCGAGGGTCCAGATATAGGGATTCCAAGGCTGTAGGAACTGCTGGGGGGCATCATGTGAGGCATAGAGGGGAACACTGCCTGGGCCTCAGCAGAAGATGTGGTAGGGGCAAACAACATTGAATTGCTTAAAGAGGCTGTGTTAGAAGGTCCTGTTACAGTTCCAGAATAAGGCATTGAGATCATATTGGGAGTGAAGACTGGTGGCCCATTGAATGGCATACCCTGATTGCCATTGAAGGCTGTGGCCACCCCCGGAACACTGGGCTTTACTGAAGGCATCATCTGAGGTCTAACCACCATCCCTGGGGATGGTGCTACTTCCTGAGGGTAAATATTCTGGGAAAGCACAGGAGTTGCTTGAGAGCAGTTGTTTACACCATTGGGCAGCGACATATTGAAATGTTGGCCTATTTCACCAAAACTCGGTCCAGGTGCCTCAGCAGAGAGAAAGGGGGTCCCCGCCTGCTCTGTACTCTGTGGGAAGCGTTGAATGCCTAGTGGGGCATGTGTCCAGAGGTTGTTCATCTTGCTGTTTCCAGGGGTTGGAAATATGTTCATGAGGTACAATGACTGCTTAATGACCTGGGCTGGTGTTGCAACACTGCCTCTGGTTGAGCAGCCCTGTCTGCTTCTCCTCTCGGCCTCGAACAGTGCGCCTCGGGACTGTGCTGGTCAGACGACAGCTGAGAACTGCTCCTGTGGCATCGCAAGGTCACGTCTGCTGGCACAGCCATGCCACAATTCCTCCACACTTTCAAGTATCATGTCTCTTTCCAAAAAAATAGTGCCTTCTAACAGCATACCCGAAGTATGAGACTCAAAGCCTCATCATTTTTGCGTCTAAAGATCACTTTGGATGCACCCTCTCTCCGAGACATATCTATTTGTTCTCTTGGCCATCCTACGGATGTTCAGTGCTCTTCTCCAACATCACAGCTCAAACGGTTCAATTTCTGGTCCAGCATCTTAGTCTTCATTAAATGGAGATAATTCACTCAGCAATACTATTCTCTAGACTCTTCCGTGTTATGTAGGTGGTATTTTACAAAATCATTGTTCCTTAGTGATGTATAATATTCCATTATGTGAATATACTGCAATTCTCCCTTTTTATATTAAAAGAAATATTTCTGACACATCCTTCACTAATACTATCTAATGAACCTAACAGGGAAATCTATTCTCTAATAAGTTTACAACCACAACTTCAGGGGTTAGAATTGACAATACATCTTTTGAAGAGACATAAATTAATTCATAACAATTTATAAAAAATAGCTAATGGAAACATAAAACATCCAAGACTCAAACTCACTCATTTGCACATCCCAGGATAACTATGTGTTAAAGAATATAATAGTTGTTAAAGGCATTTGACTGTGTAACAGGCAACAAACTGTGGCTAACTCTGAGAAGAAAAGGAATCTCAGAACACTTGATTGTACTTATGTGAAACCTATACTTGGACCAGGAAGCAGTTATCATAATAGAGCAATGAAACACCGCATGTTCAATATCAGAAAGGGTATATGCCAGGGATGTGTCCTGTCTTCTCATCTTTTCAATCTACATGCAGCACAGAGCATCTGTGAGGCTGGACTCTAGGAAATAAATGTTGCATCAGGATTGGAGGAAGATTCATCCACAACCTATATCATACAGATGACACAACCCTGCTTGCTAAAACTGAGGAAGACCTGAAGCACTTGTTGCAGAAGGTGAAGTGCTGCAGCTTTTAATATGGATTGAAGCTCAACAGCAAGAAAACAAAGATTCTCACCACTGGACCAACTGGTAATATCATGATAGATAATGAAGAGATTGAGATTGTTAACAGCTTTAGTTTGCTTGGCTTTACAATCAATACTCTTGGCACCAACAGCCAGGAACTCAAAAGATGAGTTGCATTGGGAAAGTCTGCTATCAGGCACATCTCCAGAGTACTAAAGACCAACAATGTCCGTCTGGAGACTAAGGTGTGCCTGATTGAGGCCATGGTCATCACAATTACATGCTATGCACCTGAAAGCTGGACAATGACTAGAGATGACAGAAGGAGAATTGTTGCCTTTGAGCTGTGTTGCTGGAGAGGAGTATTAAATATACCATGGACTTCTAATATAACAGGTTCATCCTAGAGAGGGTGAAACCAAGCTTCTCCTTGGAGTAAAGGACTTTAAATTCCATCTGACATACTTTGGGCATGTTGCAAGGAGGGACCAGTGCTTGGAGAGGGACATTATGGTTTGGAGGGTGGAAGACCAGCACAAGAGACTCAGTAACTCGGGCAATGGGGGTAACTGTGTCAGGAACAATAATGTTGGCTCAGGATAGAGCAGGGTTCAGAGCTGTTGTACATAAGGGTGATATGAGTTGCAGGTGACTTGATAGCGCATAACAATAAAAACAAAGTAGAGTTTAGTGAAGGTGATGGATACCCTCAGTGAGGTTGAAAGGTACAAAAGCCCTAACAATAGACTTAAATATTACAGTGATCATAAAGCTAATGCTGGACTGGGTAAAGTTTTATTCTGTTACATATGTGTTGTAACTAATTCCGAAGTAACTACAGCAACTCAAATAAAAAATTCCACTATCAAAAAAATAAAAAAAAATTTTAACAAAATTCCACCATCGTTTGATGGATTTAGCAAACTCTAGAAGACAGAATAAAATATCCCATAGGGTTTTCACAGTTGTAATCTTTAGAGAAGCAGACTATCTCATCTTTCTCCTGTGGAGCACCTGGTAGATTCAATTTTCCAACATTTTGGGCAGTAGCCAAGTATTTTAACCAGAAAATTAACAAACTCATTAATTATTACAGGAGGCAGAATTATCAGTCTTTGGTGATAAGGTGATTAGGTCATAAGGGAAAGGGAGGCAAGAACAGGCATGATCTTTTAAATGGCTCTCAAGTTTTTCATTAAAAAAAAATGGAGTCAAAAGCCATTCACCTAGATAAGAAAACTATGCAGTGGAGAATTTGGGAGAAAGAAAAAAGAAATAGAGATTTGACCATGATACTTATCCCTTCATCTAAAACGGATTTAAGAATTAAAATGCAGGGTTCTAGGAATGCAATTTGAAGAAAATCCTGATTTATTTATTTATTTATTTAGCCATTTATTAAGGTACAATTTACAGAGCTATTCATTACAGAAGATTCAAACTAAAGAAGAGAAAAAAGAACTCAGATTATATTTCCAAGGTGTTAAACAGCTCTAAACACCATCTCATTTAGTTTCCAAATCTGCAAAATGATGCTAAAATCCTTGTTACTGAGTTTCCATTGGATAAAATTGGGCAAAGTGTGGGAAAGTACGTAGTCCACCAAATTACAGATAAAAAAAAATCTAATGCTCTATATAAGGAACTGTATTGACCACACACAACAATAATAACAATGTTGTCATAGAGTGAGAACTGACTCAGCTGATCCTCCACTGAATTTCCAAGGCTGAAAATTGCATGAGAAAATATTGTGCAACTTTCTTCCTGAGAGTTGTTTGTGAATTTGAACCTCTGGAGACAAGTGAATTTTTCAGTTATCAACACAACTCCCTAGAGACTAGGTTATTCCCAAGCATATTTACCATAGTACATTAATAAATTGAGTAAATAAACATCAGACGGTGACTTACATACAAAGAAAAAATGGTAGTAAATGTTTCCCTTTACTTGATTTTATCTACTTCTAGAGAGGAAATCAATGGCTGTCATCCACAGGACCTAAGCCTACAGGTGACTCTTAAGACTAGTTGTTACATGGTAACAGCTCAGATGTCCAACTATAATCAAATGGATTGAGAAATTATGGTGCATACACACAGTGGAATACTACACGGCATGCAGGAGCAATGATTTTGTAAATTACCACTTACCACTAATATCACATACTAGCAAAATCCTGCTGAAGATCATTCAGAAACAACTGGAATAGTACACTGACAGAGAACTACCAGAAATACAAGCTAGGTTTAGAAGAGGTCATGGCACTAGAGACATTATCACCAATGTCAGATGGCTCTTGGCAGAAAAAATAAAAAAATACCAGAAGAATATCTATCTGTGTTTCATAGACTATGCAAAGGCATTTGACTGTGTGGATCACAACAAATTGTGGCTAACCTTGAGGAAAATGGAAATCTCAGAACACTTAATTGTGCTTATGCAAAACCTATACTTGGACCAGGGAGCAGTCCTCAGAACAGAGCAGGAGGAAAACATGGCATGGTTCAAAATCAGGAAAGAAGTTTGTCAGGGATGTATCCTGTCTCCATACCTTTTCAACCTATATGCAGAATAGATCATTCAGGTAGCAGGGATTTATGAGGAGGAATGTGGCATCAGGATTGGAGGAAGACTCATTAATAATCTACATTACACAGATGACACAATTTTGATTGCTAAAACTGAAGAATACCTGAAACACTTTCTGCAGAAAGTAGTCTTTAATGTTAGCATCAAGATGACAAAGACACTCACCACTGGAAAAATTGGCAGCACCGTGATAGATGGGGAAGAGACATAGATTGTTAACAATTAATTACAGCTTGCTCAGTCCCACAGTCCACACTCTTAATGCCAGTAATCAGGAAATCAAAAAGACAAATCAGGGGGAAATCTGCTGGCATGGACCTCTCCAAAGTACTAAAAAGCAAGGCTGTCAGTCTAGAGACTAAGATACGCCTAATCCAGGCCATGGTCTTCACAATTACTTTCTTTTCTATGCATCAGAGACCTAGACAGTGACTAGTGATGACAGAAGAAGAATTGATGCCTTCAAATTGTGGTGCTGGAGAAGAGTCTTGAACATACCATGGGCTGTCAAGAAAACAAATAAGGCTGTCTTGTGGAGGGTGAAAACAAGATTCTCCTTGGAGGCTAAGATTTTGCAGCTCTATCTCACATTTTTTGGCACATGGCCAGGAGAAACTGGTCCTTGAGAAGGATATCATGCTTGGAAGAGCAGAGGACAGCACTGGAGATGAAGACCCCAGATGAGATGGACTGATAAAGTCACTGAAGCCATGGGGTTGGTGTGTCAAAATTAGTGAGACTGGCTCAAGACAGAGCAAGTTTCAGAGCTGTTATACATAGGGTTGCTATTGGTCACAGGTGATTGAAGGCATATAACAACGACAGCACCTAACTTGGGAGGGATTGGAGAGCATTTCGCTAAGTGAACGAACTCAGTCTTATAAGGACAGATATTGCCTAAAACTACTACTGCAGAATGAGTATGAGGATCCAAGGGGAAAAGTGGGAGCAGAGGGGTGAGGATCAGAGACGAGGGTTAATCATACGGTTGCACAATTTGGTGGTTGGATCTGGTGAAGGAAATGGGAAAGATCCATTGTGATAAACTATGTATTCTAACTTTGTAAATAAATCAGTATGATTTTTCTTTAAATGACTAATTGTTCACCACCGAGCATTCTAATACTCCAAGACCAGAACAGAGAGGTTTCTAGTTGTCCAAGTATTAACTCTATTCTCTCATAAAATTCGTCCACAAGATT